CTGAAGTTGTAAATTTGTAGAGTCGGATGGCATGCCACAGCGATGCGAGATGTGCGATCACAAGGTTCGCACTGAGGGTGTTTTTCAGGATGCTTGTTCCCTTCAAGGATTCGCAAGGATTAGCAGAGCTCGATCAAGAAAGGCCAAGCGACACGTCTCAGCAAGATGTTTGCTTCGGCTCCGGCCTGGCATTTGGCGTTAGATGCTTTGGTTTTCGACCGTAAGCGAACAGCTTACGGGTTTGGGCTTCACCGCCTTGGGGTGGCATTCGCAATTTTGGGCTGTGGGGTCTTTTCGGCCTTTGTGGTTTTGACCGCAAGTTCTTGGGAGACCCTAGACCCTAAACCCTAAACCCTAAACCCTTGTGGTTTAGTTTGAGTTTGAGGCGTCGGATGCCAGCTCCCAGGCCCGGCGCTGGCCGCCCAGCCCGGCGTGGCCGTGGTTGGCTGCCTCCCAGCTGAGCTGCGGGCCACGCAGGCTCGGTCGTTTGGTGCTCAGGGAGTTTCAGGTTTATGGGAGCAGTTTTTTTTTGGCTCATGTTGGCTATTTTGCTGTGGTTCTTTTTGCGATTACAAGTTTTCGACTTAGTTTTGTGATTAGCATGAGTGTGAGCGTTGTTGTGTTTCGCAGGGAGTCGTTCTTGTAGCAGTGAGGTATGTGGAGTATCCACGTCGGCAGCAGATATGCTTACGAACATCGCATCCAGCTGGGTTTTGGACGGTCCTTCAGTTTCACTAGATGGGGGTTTCTTAATGGTAGGGCCCCCTGTGTTGGGGACGCCTGAGCAAACGGAACCTGGGTACAAGCCGAACGAAACCCTGGAACTGCATCGTCCTTTTGGTGGGGGGTTTCCGAAAATAGGGGGCCCTAATATAGCACCCTAAACAAATAGGATCCTTATTACAAGGACCCCAAAACAAGATACCCCCCCTATTTTCGGAAACTCCCATATCTGGGATCTTTGCCAGGGTCTCATGTTTACGGAAACTCCCCGGTCTCTCAAGAACCGTGCCATGGTGACGGTTACAATAGTAGTGTTATGAGTTACGCAGGGTCTTAGGGTTTAGGGTCGTATATTGCATAGTCACCTTAGCGAGCATAGCTGGAACAAGGTATAGTGGTGAGAATGCTCTTCATTGTTTTCATCACCACGGCCATCATGATCTGCTTCAAGGGTTGGGTCGGGACTCTGGGATTTAAGGAGCTGAGGCTCGTGTGAGCCGCGGGCATTTCTTTGTGTGGCTTTCGAGGCCTCTTTGCCGAAACTTGAACCCCGAGGTGTAAGGTGGGGTCAGACGTGGTCTGAAGAAGAAAATAGAACAAACTAGTCCTCCGTCCCTTTGCACTATACCAGACCCCAGAAGCCTGATTCAAATTGTTCAGGCGCCTCCCATATTTGGAGGTTGTGGGATGCCATTAGTCCAGGAGTCTGGGATTCCGGCGCTATGGTTTTGCGCTTTTGCCCCGGCAGGATCAAAGAATTGCCTCAAGTCTTCCAGGATGTTTGGAGCGACTGAGTTATGGGACCGCTTTTGTTTGGACAGGTCGGTATTGTTCGCATCATGCGAACCAGGATCGTTACGGTATCACCCGAGTTTTCGCCAAGAGAAGTCCGGCTTTTCCTGCGGGCAATCGCAAGCCCCGAGCCCAACTTACTATGCCCTAACCCTCTTGACCTGAATAGTACAGCCACGGGCCTGGAGTATGTATACATATACATATATACATATACATATATATATATATCTATATATAAAGACATATATTGTATTATACTATATTATGATATTAAGCTTATATAGGGACTTCGAGACCCGGGCACTCGTTGAGAGCCCCCGAGCACATGGCCCTTTCCCATCCCGGCCAGGCCTCCGATCCGAGCTCTCAGCTCCTGGGCTTTGCTGGAGTGGACGGGTAGACTCAGGGAGAAGGAAGGAGGGTTTGGGGTCTAGGGTTTCGGGTTTAGGGTTTAGGGTTTAGGGTTTAGGGTCTAGGGTTTCGGGTTTAGGGTTCAGGGACATAGAACAAGAGAAGAGGAGAACTATGGATAGGCTTATACACGTGCAGATACATGTATGCATACGTGCCTGTATGTCTGCGTAGGTAGGTTGGGTAGATAGATGGGAGGGAAGACTTTCCTCTCTGCTAAAGCAAGAACAAGCTGATAGACATTGACCCTTCGCCAATCACAGAAGTCCAGGCGACTGCGTGGGTTATACACACACACACACACACAGACAAACACATGCCCGCGCCGTTGCCCTTGTGCTCTTATCCCTAGATGGCGGCGACCTGCGCTTACCTTGTGAGGCACATTTTGCGTGCTTCAGTTTCTGGATCAAAGCAGCAGTTCACTGGAGCCGAAATTCAAAGCCTAAGAACGTAGCTGCAATCTAGCTGTTGCCGATATCTTATCTCCTTCGGTTCAGAACTCATCAGAAGCATGGCCACTCGCGAGCAGCAAGCGCGCATCAACGCGGAAGCGCGCCTGCTGGAAGCGATTGTGGACAACGACATCGAAGGACGTGGCCATCCCTTTTCAACTTCGGGATCCTTACTTACTTGGGGCCCATTTTGTAAGGATCCTTTTGCTGAGGGTTTCTATGAGGATCGCTTTGCTTGTTAATGAAGCTGTCATGCCGCGAAGCCGCTTACCCCATGTTGCATTCATGTAGAACACCCAAAATAGACCCCATAGTTAGAAGCGCCCCCCCTTCAAGGACTCTTGTGATTGTTGTCTCAGCTTCAGGTCGTACCACTTGAAGCAAGCCTCTTCAGGGTCGAGGTTGCCAGGGAATTTGTGCTGAAACCCTGAGCCTCACGTCGAAAGCCCCCCGAAGAGAGCGAGCCTTGAAACCAGCTCTTGCGGCGGTCCTCCACGGTGACGTCCCGGCGAAGGATCTGTTGCGGCTGCGGGCAGCTCGGCCCTACTTGTCTGCGGTTTTGCCTTCAGGCTCTGGGCTCTGAGGGCTAATTTTGTTATTGGCCTGTGGGTCCAACTACCTCGCAGCGCAAGGCTTTTACACACGCACCAGGACTGCTACAGTCCTGTCCGCCTTTTGCTGATTCCTGGAGCCACGAAGCCACGCCAAGCCTTGCCGTAGGGGAGCAAAGTAGGGTCTCACGCAACTGGGGTTACAACTAGATGATAGCTCTAGTCTGTAGCGCTGTAGTTCTTTCTTTACTTAATACAGTCTTACAGCTCTATTTTCCAAGTGCCCTGATCCTTTCAGCGGACTCCCCGTCGAACCCGGAAGATCCGGGGGCGGGGGGGTCTCGACGAAAGCGTGACAGGTGAAGCCTACCTACAATGACCCAGCGGATGACGCTCGGCATCTGGGGAGATGAGGGGAGTAGAAGAGATGATGGCAGATGCTCTGCTAGAGGGGTCTGCAGTCTTCGCAGTGTTATCGCCTTATAGTCCCTATATCATTACACCAAGACCCTCCTCTGATCATTAAGGTCCTTGACTTTGGAGTCTCGGAGCAAGGAATTCAGAGTTTGGTCTGTGGGACGAAGCTGAGCTCTCGGCTAGAGTTCGGGCCGCAGGGCTTTGGAATGTGCTTTTTTGCTTACTCCAAAGTGGAAGGGAGAGAGAGAGAGAGAGAGA